GTAAATATAAGAAATCATTAATAATAACACCTGATAAAATTAAAAATATAACCTGTTTCGGAGACGATGTATTAGTCTTATTTAAATGCTGTAAAATTTTTCCTGTTGATATTAACATAATAATGTGGATAATAATTGAACAAATTACTAACAAAGAACTACAAATAAAAGTCAATCATGAAACTATGATGCGTAAAGTAGCTCAACCAAAACTAGAATTACCAAGAGTTACCAAGAGTTTATGTCCACTTCTGTATAAACAATATACCCATACTGTTAATATTGTATTTGTTGTTCTTATAAAATAATAATGGTATAAAAATGTAGCAGATGCTTACAACAGACAAACCACAAGCATTATGTAATGTAAAAAAAAAAAAAAAAAGGGGGCAATATCGTCGACTAAGAATCAAATTGCAGATGCGACTAGGATGAAATGCATCGTTACCAGTAAAAATGGTCTTCAGTTCTCTACATTAAACCTACGAAGCATAGCAGCATTAAGCTGCTATTTGACGCTGGTATTCTGTCCCAGCGTGGTCCATCCCTGATCAAGCCATTTGTGCTGCAGCCATAATATTGAAGCAGCATGGCTCTACCACTACGAAAAATCATATCTGGCTGGACGTTGACATAAATGAAATTTTGAGTCACAATTTCAAGTGCATATTTACCACGTGCTCGTTGGTGGGGTTACAGGCTGCCCCTTTGAATCCATCTCGGAGGAACTAGAAAATGGTGGAGCTAAAAGGTCCCGGGTTCGATTCCAGAAATATTGACCCCGAAAATTTGTATGCGAAATTAACTATATGTGGACTGTATATGCGTGATTCCCTTTAACCAAAACAAGATGGCTGATGTGGCACGTGGCAGGTTTTGGGCAATGCACTTGCTTTTATCTAATCTATTATATCTAACCGGTGCCGGAAAGAAGGGCACAAGTAAAGAGAAAAAACAAAAGACAAAAGAACAGCTCAATATGATTTAAAGAGGAAAGCACTTACCGGGGTGGTTTTCTTACTGCTTCTTGGTCTGCGGCCTCGAGCGCGATGACTTTTGTGTTACGACTGCGTTGCAAGAGAGCGTGCGGCAGTAGTGGACATCTCTTTATCCTTTTCGGCCGCCTCCACTTCAATCTAGGCGGGGCGCGTCTCTTATTGACCGCAAAAATGACGCCACATATTTTAGCTTCCCCCCCCCCCCCTTTTTTCAGTGTGTGCGGAGAAGACAAAGAGCACCCTACTAACCAGTAGAACCAAAATACGAGGGTACTTGTTTTCCGCGCAACTACTCGGTTTTTTTAAAATATTACAAGCTAGTGCTTGACTGCTATCCCGGATAATGATCTTGTAGCCGATGATAGTAAAAAATACTGGATTAGCATAACAAAAGCCTATTTCACTTTTGATTTGAAGGCACTGAAATTGTAATCGGATTGAATAGCAAATGCTGGCAAATTATTGAACTCTACTCTACTACTAACTGGTTGGTTCAAATACGCGGTAAGGTGACAAAAATATGTGAAGACTAGTCGAATATACGGTTGTGCGATAGTGGTAGAAAGTGGGAGGAATCAAGTCATGCAATCCCTGAGGATACTCCGTTGTATCTTGCTAATTCGCATTCGCACCCGTGCTCGAGACTGGTATGATTGGCTTTTATCAAGTCTCTTGGTAAAAGCCAATCGTACCAGGCGCCAGACATACGCCTTTATATTGAGCTGCAAACCGATATGTGATATTTTGCATCCTTTAAATGGAGGCAATGCTTCATGTACGGCCGGATTCGAGGCTTATATAGTGTAAGCAGCTATCGCGATGTGAAATAACGCCACGCTTTTGTAAGGAGAGCTAACTTCCTTGTACCTGCCAAGGCAGCCATAGACTCAATAGACCACCCAAGGTTTGGTGGCAAAGAACATGCATGAAAGCCGCATGTCAGAGGAATAAATATTTTCAAGGTCCTGTGATGTTCGCCAACACGCATTGGGGCAACGAGAAAGAAAAGCAAAGGGGAGAGGCCTGTGCCCAGCAGTGTAACGTACATAAGCTGTTACCTGAATTTACTTTTATATAACAGACAAAAAATATTCAGTAAGAGATATTTATCAGATATTGCAAGCTACTTTAAAGGACAATATTTTTAAAATAAAACTTAATTACTAAAATATTTTAAAGAAATCTTAATGAATATTTATTTAAAAAAAACCCTATCTAATTATTCAAGTTAGGAGCTTTTTCTTTTTCTCTTGACCTCATCCAATATATTTTGATATTCTCTCTACAGAACGCGTACACTACGCGTGAAAATCGAAAAAGTTGTTTTATTTTTAAATTTTTTCTTTCCTTTTTCCACCAATCAGTATGCCGCAAATGTATTTAGAGAGGTCCGCTGAAATGGTTTTCGGACAATGAAGTATGCCGCTATATAGTAACCTGCGCTGCTCCATCTAGGTTAGCGGACTATCACAGCATAGAATTCTTAGTATTGTCTTGTCTTACTCTTATATAATTATATATTTAAACTAAAAAGACATTACTTTGAATTGGTCTACAAATTTTTGTTTCCACTTTTCACTCAATAATTTACAGCTTTACGTTCTATCTAATGTTCTTAGATAAAAGGAAAATAGATGCTTCGCGGTACTTGCAAAAATCTAAATGACACAGAGAGAACGAACCCTTTTATATGGGTCTATTCAGAAGTTTTTTCTTTTATAAAAATTATTTACATTATTTTCTTTTATGCGTACATTCATAATTAATTATTTAGTAGTGGATTATAATTTGCAATATACTATAAAATCTAATTTTTTATCGTTTAATATACAAACTTTTGACATTTTTAATGACATAAAAAAACACAAACTGTCATGCCTGTTACTCACCGGGGTAGGTAGAGATTACGGTCTTTTATTTGGCACGAACAAACATATCTCTGTTGCTTTTTTCACATGCTAGTCGGTTTAAAGGTTCATTTAATTTAGTCCATCTTCGTTATATCTCATATTTTGTTCATAAATTTCCCTCTATGGGGTCTTTTGCCGACTCCCCCACTACCTTTTAATTTTCACTACCATTTATTTGCTGGGATTCTCTGACCTCATTCATTTTATTTACATTTCTAAACCAATGAAGCATTCCTTTTTCAAGTCTGGTCATAACATCCTTTTGCTATACACTGCTGTAACAATGCCTCACCCTGTTATTCAGTGTCAACTGTATATGCTTTATAATAACCGCTTTTCTACAGCATTAGTTTCATGCACATGCTTATTCTGACTTTAAAGTAGGGACTTACGCAGAACGGTGAATTGCTGTACGTGTCTTTTGGACACATTTTGACTTCCCAGTGTAGAGCAAAGACCCCTTTCACTGTGTATGTCCTACACAGTGATGGTATACACTCTTCGAATCCTTTTTTCAATATCATCATTGGCTTCTTGTCATGTCTACCATCCCTGCAACCACACATCCTAAAATCACAAAATTATGCACTTGCTTAAATATTTCACCTCCTATTTCGATTTCACACATATTTTTACTGTCTCATCTTTCAAACATCAACAATAAGTTGTACAAGTTTTGTGATAGGTGAATAGGAATTTTTTAAAGTAGAACAATATATAGCCACAATGAATAAGCAAAAGGTTAAGAGATATCGCTCTTAACCTTTTGCTTATTCATTGTGGTGTCACTTATTCACGTCAAAACTACATTTATAATTTTCCCGAGACATATTTTCAAAGTAGGAAATTATCATATAACCCTCGGTTCATTTTTAGCTTCATTTAAAACTGAATGAAGTTTGGAGTCCATAATTATAATATTAAAGTTTAATTTGATTGTAATATAAGCGTGACAAAGAAATGAAAGGATTTGTTGAAAACTTTTTATTCAAATTTACGTTAAAAGTTATGTACATAAGAAAGTAAGAACGTAAGAAGTTTATGCCTTCGTAAGTTAATGAATAAATTGTAAGAACCTTATTATAAGCGTTTATTAATAGTTAATTTTTAAGATAATTGATAGAATCAGGCGTTACTTTGCGGAAATCCATTATAATAAAGATGTTAATTAATTAGCAATCTTCTGCTAACTAAATACAATGAACAGGAAGAGCGCCTCCCGCCCTCCCTCAATTGGCCCAATACGGCACCACATGCTGGGATTAGTATTGGTACACGCTTAAGCGGTCATCGCGGAAGGTTGCAAATTAATTAACATCTTTATTATAGTTAAATTTTATTTTATAAACCAATTGTATAAAGAATATAAAGATTCAGCTTAATTACAGGCTGTGAGGCATTCCATGTCTTCAGAGGTGACAACACATCTGTTGTTATCTTTATTTGAAGTTTGTTGCAGATTTCCAAATGTTTCATTAGCCATTTACTATCAAGTGAACTAAGAATTTTTATAACACTTCAGCTAAAAAAAAACTTCAGATGACTTCTCACTATTATATTATTACCTATTAAAATGTTTCTTGATGACTGCGACATCCTTTTATCCGAAAGTTTTACGCGTTTACTTACTACTTCTACGCACATGGATCCAGTTAATTAAATGAGTGAACTTCGTGCTTTATCAGCCTTTGTTAATTTAAACAGAACACATTTTGCTTAATTCTATTAGCGGTACTAAGAATTATTTAACTATTTAAATTAAGACGGAGTGAAGATCTGGTAAGAGATACAGGAAATCTTTAGATGCAGGTTGTTTAATACCGTACTTTGTGGCATTTTTGGGGAGGCCTACAATAATAATAATAATAATAATAATTAAGGCGTAGGGAAGTGACGACCCCATCGCCCGCTGACGTAACGGTTATGTGACAAAACCGCTACGTCAGCGCAGTCAGTCAGCACCTTGCCAAGAGGTGTTAGTGCCGTGCCTCGGCAAAAATTGAAGGTGCAAAGGCCCGCTTGTGCACATGGCCTCACCATGAAACGGCGCCGGGTCTGGGCGTCTCCCGCTAAATGACGCCCACCACTATGGATGATGGAATACGGAAGAACGCGCAAAGGGCCGCTGCCTGGAGATCGCCAGGGCGCTTCTGGAGCTGGCGCTGGACGCGGCAGCATGCGAACCGCCAGCCGAGCGCGAGGTGCTGCACGACCACCCAGCAGCCCCTCGCATCCATCATCCCCACCAGCTGGCTTGGTGTCGGCAGGGTCTTCGCGGGCCCAGCAATCGGCACCCGCCTCTGGTGGAGTACGCCGCATGCGTTGGACAACCCAGATGAACAGCAACGCATTGCGGGCGTATTTTGGGGCGAAAGGGGGAGAAACTGGATGTTTGGCGTATCGGGCTAGGATGCATCGTCTTTTTGCTGAGCTGGAGCCATCTTTAACCGTCACAGAGCAAAACCTGGCAGACCGAGTTCGGTATATCTTGCGCTCAAATATATTTGATGTCGCCGAACTCGAACGGCTACGACGTGAGGCTGTTCCCTCGTCGGATGAGAATGCTACGGCTGAGGATGCGGCGCCACAAATGGTAGAGCAACCCGCAAACGTGGATGCCGCCGTGAATACCCCAGTTGTGGTTGATTCCAACGATGATGGAACAGTCGCCCAGGAACTGGAATTAGAGCATATGAGGAGGACATTGGAAGAGGCGATTGTGGACCCGCGCAGTACGCCTCTCGAAAATCGACCGCGACTTCCCCGCATAGCCGTAAGCAAGCGGAATCGGGCTGTCGTGAGGGCTCTGAACCCAATGCTGGTGACCTATTTGGAAGCCAGCCGGGACCCTTGCGAGACGGACTCAATTCTTTTTGGCGCCGCGCTGGCAGTCTGCCGTATCATAGGCGCCAAGGTTTCCACGGCTGGACGCGCTACTGGCCATAGTAGCGCTATCCCAGCATGGAGAAGAAGAATTGAGGAACGTATGGCAAAGGCTAGAGCTCTCATCGGCAGACTGATATGCTTCAGATCAGGCAACAACAGGCCAAGAATTGTGCGCACCGTCAGGATGGCGTTTGCTGGGACAAATGTCAGTTTGTCCCAGCCGGATATAACGCAAAAACTGACGGAGCGCATAGATGATCTGAAGCAGAGAATCGCTGCTTGGGGAAAACGGATTCGGCGATATACCGAGAGGTCGACACGGTTCAACCAGAATCGTCTCTTCCAGAGTGATCAGAAGAGGCTCTATGAATCATTGGAGCGACCAATGGTAAGTGGAACGGGTCCAGCACCGAATCAGGCCGACACTGTAGCATTCTGGCGCGGCCTGTGGTCAGAGCCCGTAAACCACAGCGAGGGCCCTTGGACGGAAGTTGTGGCGAGTCAGTGTGCGGGTATTACGCCCATGGACCCCGTCATCATAACGCCGGATGACGTAGCTGAGGCGGTCCGTAGGGCCCCGAACTGGAAAAGTCCGGGGCTTGACGGGCTGCATCACTACTGGCTGAAGGGGTTTATGGTGTGTCACTCTGTGCTTGCCCGACAGTTTCAAGAGGCTCTCAACCAGAAGTCGCTCCCAAGCCTCTTCACTACTGGGATCACTCATTTGGTTCCTAAAGACCAGGGTACCACAGACCCGAGCAAATACCGCCCCATCACGTGTCTACCGACCATATACAAGACACTAACATCCATTTTGAGCGCAAGAATCACTTGTCACCTGGACTCAAATCAGGTGATGTCACGCGCTCAAAATGGATGTCGGGGGCGGCGGTCATGGAACCAAGGAACCACTCCTCATTGACGCGGTCATTGGCAAAGTGGTGAAACGCAACCGTCGGAACTTCTCCGCCGCCTGGATAGACTACAGAAAGGCATTCGACTCGGTGCCCCATACATGGCTAAAGAGGGTCCTCGAGCTGTACAAGATTGACTGTACAGTTCGAGACTTCCTCGAGCAGTGTATGGGGCAGTGGAGTACGATCCTCTGTCATCTAGGCGAGCGGATGACGGCTGCGGAAAGCCGCATAAGGATAAGAAGGGGTATATTCCAGGGCGACTGTCTGAGTCCAATCTGGTTCTGCCTCTCTTTGAACCCTCTCAGTACCTTACTGGAGGGCTCCGGGAAGGGATTTCAGCTTCGGAAAGGAGGTACAAAAGTGACCCACCTTCTCTACATGGATGACCTCAAATTATTCGCCTCCAGTCGCTCCCATCTTATGGAATTGCTAAACATCACGTGTGAATTTAGCAATTCTATTAGAATGGAGCTGGGGACGGATAAGTGTGCGGTCCTCCATGTTGAAGGGGAAGGGTTGCTAACTCTGAGGGCATAGACTTATCTATGCCCGTCAACTTAAGAACCCTTTCCGAAGCTGAAACATACCGATACCTGGGTATGTCACAGAACATCGGTATCGATGAGGCTGGTATGAAACAGTCAGTTTGCGACGTGTTTTATGCACGCTTGACCAAAGTGCTTAACAGCCTTTTGTCCGGTGTGAATAAGGCACACGCATATAACGGTTGGGTCATGCCTGTCCTCATGTATACCTTAGGCATACTCAGGTGGACTCAGACTGAACTTAACGCCCTGGATAGAAAAGTCCGCACTACCATGACGTCCCATAGGATGCATCATCCGAGATAGTCGGTAATGAGGCTGTACTTGCCGCGGAAGCATGGTGGTCGTGGCTTCTTGAGCGCGCTCACCATGCATAATCGCGAAGTGTGCAGCCTCCGTGATTACTTCCTTGCGAGATCGGATGATCCATTCTATAAGGACGTCATTTCTTGTGATAAAGGACTTACCCCTCTATCCTTAGCCAACGAGCAATGGCAAGACCCGGCAGTGCAGAGCATTTCCGACCGGGAGACCGTATGGAAGGAGAAGGAGCTCCACGGGAGGTTCTACAAGGCTCTACATGAGCCTTTCGTAGACACAGTAGCCTCCCTCCACTGGCTACGCTTTGGTGATCTCTTCGGGGAAACCGAGGGTTTTGTCTGTGCAATACGGGATCAGGTTATTAAGACCAACAACTATCGGAGATACATCCTAAAGGATGGCACCGTCGACATCTGTCGAGCTTGTCGCCATCCCGGTGAGTCACTTAGGCATGTTATCTCCGGTTGTTCGGCGCTTTCTAACTCTGAGTACTTGCACAGGCACAACCTAGTAGCCAGAATTCTACACCAGGAGCTCGCTCTGAAATACGGTCTCGTGGATCGGAAATTGCCGTATTACAAGTACTTGCCGGAAGCCGTGCTCGAAAATGATCGCGCCAGGCTCTATTGGGACCGGGCCATCATCACAGACAGGACTATTCTTGCGAATAAGCCTGATATTGTGCTGATGGACCGGGCACAGTCAAAGATATTTTTGGTCGACATTACCATTCCGTATGACGAGAACCTCGTGAAAGCCGAAACAAACAAGAAAACAAAATATCTGGACCTGGCTCACGAGGTGACCGACATGTGGGGTGGTCTGCCGACCGAAATTATTCCTGTAGTCGTCTCTGCAAACGGGCTAATCCCAGTCAGCCTCTCGGGTCATCTGAGGCAGCTGGGACTACGTGGCGGACCGCTCCAGGTTCAAATGCAGAAGGCGGTGCTCCTCGATACCGCCCGCATCGTCCGCCGGTTTCTTTCCCTTTCCCCCTAACCCTCGGCCGTTTGGTCTCCCCTGCCGAGGGCCTCCATCTGGTTGGGCTTTTACTTATTTATGTACTTTTATATTTATTTTATGTTATTGATATTTATGTATATTTATCTTTCCATTTTCATTTATAATTATATATTTATAGAACCCAACCAGATGAGAAAACTATATAGATACCCCATAATAATAATAATTGTCTATGCCCGTCAACTTAAGGACCCTTTCCGAGGCTGAAACATACCGATACCTGGGTATGTCACAGAACATCGGTATCGATCAGGCTGGTATGAAACAGTCAGTTTGCGACGTGTTTTATGCACGCTTGACCAAAGTGCTTAACAGCCTTTTGTCCAGTGTGAATAAGTCACACGCATATAACTGCTGGGTCATGCCTGTCCTCATGTATACCTTTGGCACACTCAGGTGGACTCAGACTGAGCTTAACGCCCTGGATAGAAAAGTCCGCACTACCATGACGTCCCATAGGATGCATCATCCGAGATCGTCGGTAATGAGGCTGTACTTGCCGCGAAAGTATGGTGGGCGTGGCTTTCTGAGCGCGCTCACCATGCATAATCGCGAAGTGTGCAGTCTCCGTCAATACTTCTTGGCGAGATCGGATGATCCATTCTATAATGACGTCATTTCTAGTGATAAAGGGCTTACCCCTCTATCCTTAGCCAACGAGCAATGGCAGGACCCAGCAGTGCTTAGCATTTCCGACCGGGAGACCGTATGGAAGGAGAAGGAGCTCCACGGGAGGTACTACAAGGCTCTACATGAGCCCTTCGTAGATACAGTCGCCTCCCTCAACTGGCTACGTTTCGGTGACCTCTTCGGGGAAACCGAGGGTTTTGTCTGTGCAATACAGGATCAGGTTATTAAGACCAACAACTATCTGAGATACATCCTAAAGGATGGCACCGTCGACGTCTGTCGAGCTTGTCGCCATCCCGGGGAGTCACTCAGGCATGTCATCTCCGGTTGTTCGGCGCTTTCTAACTCTGAGTACTTGCACAGGCACAACCTAGTAGCCAGAATTCTACACCAGGAGCTCGCTCTGAAATACGGTCTCGTGGACCGGAAATTGCCGTATTACAAGTACTTGCCGGAAGCCGTGCTCGAAAATGACCGCGCCAGGCTCTACTGGGACCAGGCCATCATCACAGACAGGACTATTCTTGCGAATAAGCCTGATATTGTGCTGATGGACCGGGCACAGTCAAGGATATTTTTGGTCGATATTACCATCCCGTATGACGAGAACCTCGTGAGAGCCGAAACAGATAAGCAATCAAAATATCTGGACCTGGCTCACGAGGTGACCGACATGTGGGGTGGTCTGCCGGCCGAAATTATTCCTGTAGTCGTCTCTGCGAATGGGCTAATCCCAGTTAGCCTCTCTGGTCATCTGAGGCGACTGGGACTCCGTGACGGACCGCTCCGGGCTCAAATACAGAAGGCGGTGCTCCTTGATACTGCCCGCATCGTCCGCCGGTTTCTTTCCCTTTCCCCCTAACCCTTGGCCGTTTGGTCTCCCCTGCCGAGGGCTCCCATCTGGTTGGGCTTTTATTTATTTATCTATTTTTGTATTTATTTTATTTTATTGATATTTATGTATATTTATATTTTCATTTTCGTTTATAATTATATATTTATACATCCCAACCAGATGAGAAAACTATATAGATACCCCACACATAATAATAATCTTTATTTGCAAGAATATGGTTGTACAATGGTGTTTGAGTATAATTCGTTCCACATATTCTACCTTAGTGGTGTGCAAATATTAATGGTCAAGTAACCTAAACAACAATACTTATCGAATTTAACAACATATATTAATTTAACAAAATATAAAATTATTTAATATTATTTACTTGATTTTATATTCAATTTATTATGCCACAGTGTCAGAATAAATATAAGTAAGTATTATTATATCAAGTAAGATTATTATTATACGTCAATGTCATATATTAATTATTATTCTTACGTCAATAATTATATAATGTTACATATCCAATTGTCATTAATATCTTACTATTTTTACATCAAATTTATTAATTAATTAGATACATAAGTCAAATTTTATATAAAATAATATCAAAAACATTATTTTTTTTAAATATCAGAATCTCGTAATTACGTAATTAATCCTATTCTAAAATTATCATTCATTATTACTCGTATGTAGGTCGTTGTCGTTTAAGAACTCTTCTACAGAATAATAACATTTACGGAGCAACAATGCCAAAACAGATTTCTTAAATGACAATAAACTTTTACGCTTTAAATTATCAGGTAAATTATTATAAATTCTAATCGACATTGCAGAAGCATTTCTTTTTGTAACTTTTAGACGATTTGCTGGCGCATATAACCTATTCTTGTATCTACCCTTACTTTCACTCACATCACACTTACGTTGAAATAAATGTGGATGCTTATGAACAAATATGCACATTTCAAATATGTATAATGAAGGCAAAGGCAGGATCTTTTTTAGTTTTGAACAAAGGTTTGCAACTCACTAAAGGACCAACACCACAAAGAGCTCTTATGCAGCGTTTTTGTGCTTTAAATGCTTTATCCGAATCCACCGAATACCCCCAGAGTATAACACCATATCGTAGTATGGATGAGATATATCCATGATATGCCATCAGTGCAGCTCTTTCCGATACAATATTTCTTAGTCTACGCAATGCAAAAACGAAACGATCTATTTTAGTACAAAGGCTTTCTATATGAGGCTTCCAACTACAAAATTTATCAAATATTATTCCTAGAAATGTCGTGGAAACGACTTCTTCAATTATCGAGTTGTTATATGTGAGTTTAATGTCATTTGAAATGTTTTTGAGGGTTTTATATTCAATAAATTTCGTCTTATTTATATTTATATCTAAATTATTTATATTCATCCACTGTATGACCTCATTTAGAGCACCTTAGCTG